TCGATAAAACCATAAAAACAATCCAAGAAAACACCTCAGTATTATTTTAACCAAACAAAAGGCAAGAGGTTTACTTTTATGATCTTGCAATGCACAAGGTAGGAATTTTTAATACTGTGCATACTCACTGCACAGACCCATCTTCTCATATCTAGACCAAAATTTACCACTAGCAGCACATTTGAGGGCGGTGTGTTAAAACACACATTAAAGTGAGAGAGAGTATCAATATTGTAAATCTACGAGGGAGACTGTGAAAGTTAAGGGTGCTACTGGGAAAAGAAGGGACCCAGAAGGCAAATCAGGGATATGATCGTCCATGATTAAGGTTTATTTTTCCCTTAAAAATTTAAAAAAGGGTGGGGGAGGTAAGGGGGGGAAAATAAGGGCACTAAAGGGGACCCCAAAAAAAGTGACTATTATAACCCCTCTGTATCCATGAGTACCCTTGGCATGGTTGCAGTTCTGAGTTGTAGGGAAAACCTTCTCTGCCTCACTTTCATGCCGTAAACCAACGACAGGAGGGCCCCTTGAGCATCAACCAAGCCACCTCACCGAAAGGGGTATGGGTAGTCGAACTTTCCCAAGAGTCATACCCCTTTGGCTGACCTCCAGAACCAACAGGACAGGCAGCCTCTAGGAATTTTTATCACTTGCACGAAAAAACCCCCGACCAGAACCCCAGAGACGCTCAACCATTCCTAGATGACCAATTCCCATAAATGAAGTCCTCGATGAATGAGACAGTGAATTTTCTTTCCTCAACTATGAGCATAATTTCAAGAATACCCCAAAAAAAATGGGGGGGGGGAAAAGGAAGGAAGTAAGGGTAGGGAGGGGTGGGATAATTAGTTGACCCAAGGGAAAGGAACAAGGGGTCCAATTCCTTGGATAAGAGCCTCTTCCCTCGACGGGGGACCCCTTTCAGGGAACCCCCCCAACAGCCCCTTTTTCTCATGCTAGGAAAAATTTCTGTTAAAGTCATTTTGAGAGACATATGTGATGCAGCAACACTGGCATCTTTTTACATGGGAGTGGTAAAAGGGGTTTAAAGTGTCTTCTTCAGCTGTTTGAGTTTTTCCCCAAAAAATTGACTGTTATCACTGTCCCCTTCCTCTTTTCCCTTCTTACTTGAAACCCCTCTTCATTTTATTCCCCTCTTTTTCGATCTTGCAACCAAGTTGTATATGTGGATTTAAACTTAAAACTTTTACAATAACTTTTTAATAATCACTGATACACCAACAAACATAGAAATTTTTTTTCTCATAGCTAGTCTGCATAAATTTTCATTCAAAAAACTAAAATGCTGCCCTGTAACTCAAACATTTTATTTTTTTTTTTTCTAAAAAAAAAATCCCACGATCATATATAGTTTCAAAACTCTAAATACTGAATATATTTATAACTTCCCTGTCTATGAAAAAAGCTGCAGTTCATTCAAAATTTTTATATAGAAGTGCAGGTAAAAAAATTTTTCGAATATTCAAACATAACTACCCGAATAAAACTAAGTAAATCGAATAGAAAGAAGTTTATTTCCTTCACTCCCTGCAGGGCATTCATGCTGAGCTTTCTTTCCCCATTGGACATGGAGGTAAATTTTGTTCCAAAACAATGTCGTATGAACCGATAGTCACTATATTTCTTTGTCTTGTCTTGTTTTCTTATTCTTTGTTTTTTATGGATTCCTTGTTCAACAATTTTTTTAAATCTTTTTCTTCCTTGGATTTGTAATAACTATCTAACTAGTAATTTTTTTCCCCGAAACCCCATAACTATAAAGTCTTCAATATTCTTTGTTTCCGAGAGTACTCATCACTGTAGTTTTCTTTTAAATCCTTGGTTTCCGGGACATACATTTATCTTCTGTACGTTTTTTTCCTTTGATTCCCCATGTAGTAGACGGGACAAAAAGCTTTAATATCTTTAGCTGACTTTTTTGTTTTTCGAGTTCTTCGAGGTTTTTTTGATATAGAAGTGTGTTTCGCTTGGCCTGGGCTATGGTTTTTGTGTGATACTTAATTTTTGCTGCAAAATAAAAAAACCATTAGACCTTGAATATGAAAAATATCCTTCTGTACACTAGACTACACAGAGTAAAAATGCTGTTTTAAGATGTTTTCAGTGCAACAAAAGGGAACAGTGTAATATTCAAGAAATAAAGCAAACGCTTCAGTAATAAGGGTGAAAAACTTTAATTAAAAAATATTTATAAAAATAAATGATGGTTTTTTTTTTAAAAATGTAGCAGTTGGCACACTGACCCCCCATAGGTCAATTTTTTTTTCCAAAAATCTTTCATGTTTTAAACCCCTTTGGGGTCGACAGGCCCTCTCAAAAACTTTTCTCAGGTCGGAAAAATTTAAAAAAAAAAAAAATTATTATTTTTTCTTATGAAAAAATATTTTTTTTTTTTTTCTAAACATTATGGCTAAACAAAAAATTTTACCGTAAATACTTACGAGATAGGGGGGCGTGAAGTTTGAAAAAATTGAACATCTGGTAACATCCCGACTGCCGCGCCCGGTTTTTTCTATTTTTTTTTTTTATGTACTACTTTCAATTTTTCTTTTCTGAGTAACTTTTATGGCCTCTGAGGCCAAATGATCAGTTTTTGTGTTATTTCTTTTTCAATACTACACAAAAAGGGGCGAAAACATGTTGTCATTATTTTGTTTATAAAAAATTTTACACAAAAAAAAGATATGAATGTTTTTTTATTACTATTTTTCTTTTTTATACCATTCAGTCACAGGGAATTTTTAGAATTTCTGCAGCTGTGGAACTCTTTGAAACTGGGTCATGCACATGGTGTTTTACTTTCCCCACCAAAAAACGAGTGTCTCTGCGTTGTTGTGGGCGTTTTTTTTTGTTGTGAAAAGACGTAACACCCCTTCTGAGCCTTTTTCTTGAAAGCAGTAGCAGGCATTTTACCAGGAAGGCCCATGCTTCAACGAGCAGGTTTGTTTTTAAATTTGGGGGGGGTCTTGGGTGGCTCCCTTGGACTTGAATATATTTGTTGATGACGCAAAAAAATTCGCCAACTGTGGTTTTTTTTGGTCCTATCTATACATTTTTATAGCATGAGCATGGAAAAGTCCAGAAGATGGAAAAACAGTTTGATGTACCACTTATAATCTTGCGAACACAATCGCAAACCCCTCCATGTCCATTTGTCCACTGAATGCATGTGAAGGGGTAATCTCCAGTGCAGGTTTTAGAATGGGTTCTTGCTCTCTCTATGCTGTGCCTGTCTCCATGCACCTCACCTCTACGAGTGCAAGCGCAAACCTGGGGATATGTTTCCGATTTACCGCATTGCCCCACCATTGTCATGTTCACTCGAAAAAATCATGATGAGGGGGTTGTTACCCGTTATCTGTATATAATATTGCCCCTTACCAAGGGATGGTTCTACAGTTTCTAACCACATCACCTGAGATGCCCCCAAAAAACTTCCGGTATTTTGCAATTTTAAAATTTCCCTGACACTAATATCCAATACCAGCCACTGTAAAATCCAAAGCACAAACAACTTTATACCAAGCGCTTCCCTTGCTTGGGAGATGCTTGAAAGAAAGTCTTCCTTTGAACAAATAAAGACTCGTCAATTACAAGCTTTCCCAAGGGAAAAATGCGTACTGATTTTTCTTTTAGATACACAAACACATTCCTAATTATATAAACCCTTTGTTTTTTGTAGGCTGGTTTTGTCTGAAAGTGAAGCATACGTAACATTAGAACAAATCGATTACTGGCATTTTACGAACCTGGGTTGCAATCAGGCGTCTTTGACCGTATGATTTCACTTTGTGTTATACAATGTGGCATAACATTATTGTGGCAAAGAAAAGATAATCTCAGCCCAGTTTGCCTCCTTCCCCTGGTGTAGACGTGATTTTGGTGAAAGTAAATTTTTTGCCCTGGTGACCCTGTTTGTTTCTTTCCATGACAATAATTTCCTCGTGGTTCGTCAAAAAATAAAACGAAAAATTCAGTCATGGCATTTTTTCCCAAGGTAAAGAGGCTGTATTCCACTTTGGCTGTCTCAAAACTGGTGGGGATTTGGAACAAAAATTTAAGCTTCCTGCCCCAAACCGGTGCGGTTGCTGGGGTATGGACAAGAAGGGGGTTGTGGAGGCTGGGTGGTATGTGGGTGGGGATGGGGCTTTGTTGTAGTTTGCCTGGGTGGCAGCAGGCCCCCCTGCTGGTGCCTCCCGCGGGACCCCTAACCAGCACATTTTCCATCCCAATTGCAACAGTATATCGCATTTTCACTGTCTGTTTCTGTTGTCAGACGGGATGTTCCCGGGTGCACTCCCTTCCCCTTGGAATAGCATATGGCCACTACCCGAGCGAAAAATCTCGTATATACTGAGCTTCCCGGGGAAAAATTCCTTTACTATCACTACTGGAACTAGTTGAAGACTTGTAGTTATATTCACTATCACTACATCACACTGCTCTCTCTGAATTGGGGTTTGGAAATAGAAATTTCTCTTGGATTTGGTACAATAACGTGAACAAGACGGGCCCGCACCGAGGGGGAAAGGTGAGGGTCGTTGGGGGTTTCCCATATTACCCATATTATGGTCATTAGTTTTGGTCAAAAACCCCGCCAAAAAACCTTTAAACCTCTTCACTGGCATTCCCTCTGTATTAGAACTGTCATGGGGGAAAAAATGTCCCCAATTTTCCCCGGGGGTGGGGGGCTTCTTACCGCGAGGCATGGTGGAAATTGTTTATAAGATGGGTTCCCACAATGCATCATGGGGCCCCGATTTTTTTTCCCCCTGCACACCGCCCACAGACCCATTCTCTCACATGTAGCCTACCCCGCCTTTCCGCGAATTTTCGGCTCTAGAATTTTTGCTACTGTACGTCAAAAACCCCTGCCTAAAATTAAAAAGTAGTCCAAAAACCCTCAAAGGGTTAAAAAAAAGAATAAAGAATCACTAAACCCATCAATCAGTGCAGTGAAGAGGCAAGGGGTACACTTATGTTAGAAGATATAACGTGGTGGGTGGGTATGAGTAAGTATGGAGAGTGTTTCAGTCTGTGTAATAAAATAAGTCAGTTTCAGTAAAAGGACACAAGTGCAACTAATGTGACATTTTATTGTGGCAACGTTTCACTCTCCAGGAGCTTTTTCAAGTCGGTATGCTCCTGGAGAGCGAAACGTTGCCACAATAAAATGTTACACTAGTTGCACTTGTGTCCTTTTACTTGACATATTGTCGGTAATTCTACCAACATTAATAGAAGTCAGTTTCAGTCAAGGATTAAAGTCTGCATTAAAGATTAGTAAGATGGGGAGAGGGAGGTATTAGGTAGATGGCGAGAATATTTTGAGGAACTTTTAAATGTTGAGGAAGAAAGGGAGGCGGTAATTTCATGCTCTGGCCAGGGAGGTATACCATCTTTTAGGAGTGAAGAAGAGCAGAATGTAAGTGTGGTGGAGGTACGTGAGGCATTACGTAGAATGAAAGGGGGTAAAGCAGCTGGAACTGATGGGATCATGACAGAAATGTTAAAAGCAGGGGGGGATATAGTGTTGGAGTGGTTGGTACTTTTGTTTAATAAATGTATGAAAGAGGGAAGGTACCTAGGGATTGGCGGAGAGCATGTATAGTCCTTTTATATAAAGGGAAAGGGGACAAAAGAGATTGTAGAAATTATAGAGGAATAAGTTTACTGAGTATACCAGGAAAAGTATACAGTAGGGTTATAATTGAAAGAATTAGAGGTAAGACAGAATGTAGAATTGCGGACGAGCAAGGAGGCTTCAGAGTGGGTAGGGGATGTGTAGATCAAGTGTTTACATTGAAGCATATATGTGAACAGTATTTAGATAAAGGTAGGGAAGTTTTTATTGCATTTATGGATTTAGAAAAGGCATATGATAGAGTGGATAGAGGAGCAATGTGGCAGATGTTGCAAGTATATTGAACAGGTGGTAAGTTACTAAATGCTGTAAAGAGCTTTTATGAGGATAGTGAGGCTCAGGTTAGGGTGTGTAGAAGAGAGGGAGAATACTTCCCGGTAAAAGTAGGTCTTAGACAGGGATGTGTAATGTCACCATGGTTGTTTAATATATTTATAGATGGGGTTGTAAAAGAAGTAAATGCAAGGGAGTTCGGGAGAGGGGTGGGATTAAATTAGGGGAATTAAATACAAAATGGGAAGTGACACAGTTATTTTTTGCTGATGATACTGTGCTTATGGGAGATTCTAAAGAAAAATTGCAAAGGTTAGTGGACAAATTTGGAAATGTGTGTAAAGGTAGAAAGTTGAAAGTGAACATTGAAAACCAAACCTTTCTCTTTTCTGTCTTTACCGCCAAAACTTCAACTACTATATCATTTGAGATGTTTAGTAGTTCTCAGCAAATGAGCAACTCTGTGACATACAAGCCAACCTCCCCCCATCCATTGCCTGTTTAGTCTGTCGCATCTGAAAAGGTCATAACCTGGGATCCATATTTTGTTGTCAAAATGATCCTTTATGCGGGTCTCTGTGAAAGCTGCAAACATTGCATTTGACTCCGTGAGCAGTCCCTTGATGTGAGGAATTTTGTTGATGGCTTTAGACCCTGTATGTTTGCAAAGACAAATGTCATTATATTGATGTAATTTAGGGGGGTTTTATTTGGTGGCTCTAATATATGTTGTTCTGGAGTGGAGGCCAATGACTGTGCCTCTGCTCTAGAAGTGTTTTCAGTCTGTGTAATATTTCTGTCATTTCTTGCCAGTCTTGTCTCCTTCCTGGCACTAAGAAAAAAAAAAAACTTTCTCTAGAGAGGTTATGGCTCCCCTCTTTAGTTTTCCATACTCTGGCTGGTCTGTATCTTCTTGTCCCCTTTAGACGATGTGCTGGTATTTATGTACTAATATTATTATTCAGGGAGGTACTACTGTCCTGCCATGTGAGTGTAAAATAAAAGCCTGTATTTGTTTTACATGATGGTAGGATTGCTGGTGTCTTTTGTCTGTCTCATAAATATGCAAGATTACAGGTACGTCTTGCTACTTCTTCTTACACATACATGTATACAAGCATATATATATACACCCCTCTGGGTTTTCTTCTACTTTCTTTCTAGCGCTTGTTCTTGTTTATTTCCTCTTATCTCCATGGGGAAGTGGAAGAGAATTCTTCCTCCGTAAGCCATGCGTGTTGTAAGAGGTGACTAAAATGCCGGGAGCAAGGGGCTAATAACTCCTTCTCCTGTACAAATTATTAAATTTAAAAAGAAAAACCTTCGTTTTTCTTTTTGGGCCACCCTGCCTTGGTGGGATACGGCCAGTTTGTTGAAAAAAAAAAAGTTATTATTCAGTGATATGCTGGTATTTGTGTGCTAATATTATTATGTGATTCAGGAAAGAGCTCATTATGTACTCAAAAGATGGGATGAAAACTGATTGCAACTTTTTCCCTTTCTGAGTTAAGCTAAGATAGTTTCATAGTTGGTAATAAATGGTATTGTGAAAAGTATACTCAAAAAAAAATGTGTGCAGGGCAGAGGGCAGCAAGCAGTGAAACATATTTACCTTGCTGGAAAGTTGTCTGCTGCACACGCCACACTCGTAGATCTTGGTTCGCTCGTGTATTCTTGCAAAGTGTGCATTTAAATTTTTTTCTTGGTAGAAATATCTGAAATGCAAATGATTATTCAGTTACAAAATACAGAGAAAGTATGATCCCATTCAAATAACAATGAAAGAGGCTAGAATGCAGATATAACATTTCCATACTCCTAGAACTTGTATTGTTATATTACTCAATTATGACCACGACAATAAACAGTTGCTATGGAATACAGTTACTTCTATTACTTCAAAAAAGAATACTGCATGTCTTTGACTTTTGGATAATTCGCACTGACCAGGTCAACAAACTCTTATATTGGTGCTTCTACTCACACACACAGCATCCTCTTTTCATTGTTCCACATTGTCGGGGTTTTCATCTGAACCGTTGTCCATTATGTTTGGTGCTTTTTCCATTTTTTGGCAGAACAGTTACATAAGGGAAGGGTGGCCAGTGCCATATTTTAAGGTACTGTATATACTGTGTATTTATTATACTTTTATATCTTTTTTTATGTCTAGCTGTATTGAGCACTTAATACATGATATATAAACACATTATCAGGTGTTTTAGACACATATGATATTGAAAAAATGCTCTTTTTCACTCACTGGCGATTTTTGCTTATCGCCTGGGGTTGGCAACATAACAGCTGTAGAAATGGAGCCCTCCTGTACTAGTACGTGGTAGCTTTCATATTTCCACCCAGTTAAAAAGTATTCTCCTTACCATAGTGATTAAAAATCTAACATAATCTACATTGATGCAATAAGATAACGATAAACAGGTGATATCACACAACATGCAAAGTAACCACATTGAAAAGTCATGGAAGCACATGGAATATCACTATTTTTCACTGTGGTTATTTTGCATAATGTACACTGCAGACGTCACCTATTTTTTCCAAGAATATAGAATGTTGCATCTAATATAGTAAGGAATGTGATGAGCAACTGAAGCATCATTGACTGACCAGCCAACGTGCACATGGCCACATGGCAACTGCAAATGTTTGCTTAACTCTGGTAAGTATAGATTCAATTATTAATACATTTGATTTAAAAATAATTAATCAGCACTACAAGAGACCTCCAGGACCCAACAACTGCAGATACATGGGATTCACTTACTTGTGAATTCAATGTTTGAAGATTATACAAAAAAAATAATATAAAAAATAGAAAGGAAAACTTTTAAAACCCTGCAAGAAGGTTCAGACAAACTAAGCAAAATGTGATTAATAGGCAGATGAAACTTAACAGATTATTATTATTTTATTATTAACACATTGGCCGATTCCCACCAAGGCAGGGTGGCCCGAAAAAGAAAAACTTTCATCATTCACTCCATCACTGTCTTGCCAGAAGGGTGCTTTACACTACAGTTATAAAACTGCAACATTAACACCCCTCCTTCAGAGTGCAGACACTGTACTTCCCATCTCCGGGACTCAAGTCCAGCCTGCCGGTTTCCCTGAATCCCTTCATAAATGTTACTTTGCTTACACTCCAACAGCACATTTATTATTATTTTATTATCACACTGGCCGATTCCCACCAAGGCAGGGTGGCCCGAAAAAGAAAAACTTTCACCATCATTCACTCCATCACTGTCTTGCCAGAAGGGTGCTTTACACTACAGTTTTTAAACTGCAACATTAACACCCCTCCTTCAGAGTGCAGGCACTGTACTTCCCATCTCCAGGACTCAAGTCCGGCCTGCCGGTTTCCCTGAACCCCTTCATAAATGTTACTTTGCTCACACTCCAACAGCACATCAAGTATTAAAAACCATTTGTCTCCATTCATTCCTTTCAAATATGCTCAAGCATGCTTGCTGGAAGTCCAAGCCCCTTGCACACAAAACCTCCTTTACCCCCTCCCTCCAACCTTTCCTAGGCCAACCCCTGCCCTGCCTTCCCTGCACTACAGATTTATGCACTCTCAAACTCATTCTATTTCATTCCATCCACTCTACATGTCTGAACCATCTCAATAACTCCTCCTCAGCTCTCTGGATAATAGTTTAGGTAACTCTGCACCTCCTAATTTCCAAACTACGAATTCTCTGCGTGATATTCACACCACACATTGCCCTGAGACATGACATCTCCACTGCCTCCAGCCTTCTCCTCATTGCAACATTCATCACCCATGCTTCACACCCATATAAGAGTGTTGGTATAACTATACTCTCATATATTCCCCTCTTTGCTTCCACAGACAAAGATTTTTGTCTCCACAGACTCATAATTGCACCACTCACCCTTTTTTCCCTCATCAGTTCTGTTTCACCTCATCCTTCATAGACCCATTGCTGACATGTCCACTCCTAAATATCTGAAAACATTCACCTCCTCCATATTTCTCTCCCTCTAATCTGATATCCAATCTTTCCTCACCTCATCTTTTTTGTTATCCTCATTACCTTACTCTTTCCTATATTCACTTTTAATTTTCTTCTTTTACATACCCTACTAAATTCATCCACCAACCTCTGCAACTTCTCTTCAGAATCTCCCAAAAGCACAGTGTCATCAGCAAAAAGCAATTGTGGCAACTCCCACTTTGTGTTTGATTCTTTAACTTTTAACTCCACACCTCTTGCCAAGACCCTCGCATTCACTTCTTACAACCCCATCTATAAATATATTGAACAACCATAGTGGCATCACACATCCTTGTCTAAGGTATTTTTATGGGAAAAAAACTCCCTCTCCCTCAATCTAGATATAGAAATAACAAAATGCCTAGGTAGGGGTTTGGGCGACAAAACCATCCAGGGAGGAACTATGCCCTTTTCAAGCGGTTTAAATAAAAACCTGAAATTTTTTTTAACATGTGGTAAAATTGTGGTGTCTTTTTTTTTTTTGTCTCATAAAAGCGGGTACCAGGTATATCTTGTACTTCAACTTACACTTGGGTCACATACACATAAAGTGTAGGTATGTAGTGGGGTATGGGGAACTTCCGCGAGAGGTTCAGGGGGACAGAGAGCGGTAGGAAAGCATGAACGAAATGATGGAATAAAACCAAAATGAAGGGGCGAAAAAAGGTTTTTTTCCCGGGGTAACAGAACAAGGGAAAGCCCAAATGAGCCCTTGGTTTACCCAAAGGTGGGGAGGAAAAAAAACAAAGTAAATACAGAATGGGGAGGTCTGAAGGGAAAAGCCCCGGGAAAATAAGGAGGTCACCCAAAAGAGCCAGAAACAGTATGCGAGTAAGGGGGGGCCCAGCGACAGCATGAAACAACAAAGCAAAAAAGTTAAGTCGACCAAAAACGCTGTGTAGCCACATTAGGAGAAAACAACCCCAAAGACCAGATAAAAGGGCTGGGGAAAAGAAGGCGGGAGCCCACAAAACGATCAAGGGGTTGTGAGGAGCAACAAGAGTTTTAAAAAGTGTTCACGGGGAGCAGGAGGCCGGGGCGGACAGAGGGGGCACCAACGGGAAAAACCCCAAAAAAGTGCGGATGAATAACACAAAGAGGAGGAGGTAAGAAGCTGCTAAGTGATTTTGATACCTAAAAGGCAATGGGACAGGCATCCCCCCATGGGTCCTTTAGAGGGGAGCAGAAATGCTGTGTGTCCCATTAACCACAATTTCAACACATCCCTTGAAATGGACAACTACCGGGGTAGGGAAGATGGAAAATGTTTTCCCCTTTTAAAAAAGGAGACAAAAAGGGGCCCCTTAAACTAAGCCCCGCATCCTGCCCATGTTAGTTGCAAAGCATGGAGAAGATTATCGGGGGGGGGTTTGGTAGAGACCTGGAATGGAAAAAAAAAGTTAAATAAAAACCAGCACGGTTTCAGGAAGGAAAATTTTGTTCAAAAACCTTTGGGTTTTAGATAAGTAAAAGAAGTAAGAGACAAAAAGGGGGTGGGTTTTTACTCACTTCTTGGATTTTTTACAAAAAAATTCGATTTTAAAAAGCATAGAGAAACTCTAGTGAATACAGAAAGGACTGCCCCCTTTTAGCATCCATCTGTTTATTGGGTTTTTTTTGACAAGTAGTCAGTATCCTGGTCCAATTTTCCATTAAAATTTAGTAAGATTCCATAGTGCTTTAGGATTAAACTGGTAGGGCCCAACTAAAGAAATAAAATTTAATTGTTTTTTAATAACAAAGTCTAGGCGTTAAGATCAAAGTAAATTAAATTTTAACAATTGAATTGATTGGATAAAAGTTCCTACCTTCTCTCTGACATAGTATTGTGTGAAGGCACTTTCACATTTTTATGGTTTTTAAATACCCTCTGGTACTCGTTAGCATATAATAACATAAAAAATACAGTGGCCCCCGGGTTTACAATTTATTTCATTCCGAAGATGTTCGGGCCAGTCTGAACGAATTTTTTCCCCTAAGGAATATTTTGAATTTTAAAGGCCATTTGCCCCCAAAAAATCACGTACAAACGTATTACAAAAAACTTACATAATTTCGCATTTGGGGGGTGATCGTAAAGCGAGGGTCCACGTTTAAACAATAAGTTTGTGTGTATGTGTGTAAGTGCCCAAGTAGTTCGCTATGTCTCAAGACTCGACTAGACTTAACCCGTACTGCTAAAAGTCCCCTTCAACTAACTTCTTTACCCAAACCCGGCAATCAGAACAGCTTGCTGAACAATAAAAAGAATGATAAGCCAAACAACAAAAAACAAGCAACAGGGACACAGAATCAGGAAAAGGAGATAATATACGACACTAAGTAGGGACCTTCTGCAGGATCCTCCCACAATAGTTTACAAAGCTTCCATACTACCTGAATCTAAGTCAGCATTAGAAAATCCACGACTGTGACAGTACAAAGATCCCAGTCCCAAATAAGGTCAGAAGCTACAGCTAGGACCTGAGTTTCTCAGGTGTCTATGTGACACACAACCTCAGTACACGTCGAAAATCACTAAGTTAGGCAATGTTCCTGTGAAAGAGTTACACAGAACCAGCAAACAAGAAAGCGACAAAGGACGATCCTTCCAACAAAGTGCCACAGGGTAGAGTAGAGGGGACAGCTTGCTAGACGCAAGTCCAACCGGGGGGGGGGGGAAAACAAATAATTGAGAGAGCGCAGGCCAGCAGACTACTCCAGGTAGAGGTGTGATCACCCCCTGATCACGTGCTCTCTCCGTGGACTGCTGCGCCCAGCCAACACAGAAAGCCGGCAGCATAAACGAGCGAAGAGAAAAACACAGTAGTTAGAAATGCTGTCAGCTACTTAACACTCAAACTTTGAGCACTGAATAATATATATAAAATGATTACTCGTACCTAATATGGCTAAGGTCCAAACATAATATAGAGCAATATATTTACGATTTAGGCATATTATCGCAAATATAAGCAATATTAAAATTATGATGAACATTGTGACCCTTTCAGTGGGTCCCAAACAGACTGCCAAGAAGGCCTTCAACACATTCCTCACAAGGAGATTAGTGCAGAATCTAGGGATCAGGCGGGTATAATGGGAAGGGACTTCAATTGATCAGAGAATCCTGACAGGGGAGGCAACAACGAGTCATGGTGCGTGATGAGGATATCACAGTGGGCACCTGTGATGAGCAGGGTCACCCAGGGGTCGATCCAGGTACTCAGTGCTATTTTGGTATATACGTGAATGAGTGATGGAAGGGATAGCCTCAGAGGTGTCCCTGTTCTGCAGGATAATGGAAGTTAATGAGGAGATTAATCAGTGAGGATCAGGCAGACCCTTCAAAGAGACCTGGACAGGCTGGACACATGGTCCAGGCAACTGGCTTCTCGATTCAACCCTGCCAAATGCAAAAGTTATGAAGAGATTGGAGAAGGGCAAGAAGACGCAAACAGAGGATAGGTAGGTGGCAATGACTGCAACATCTCGCTCAAGGAGAAAGATCTTGCATGATTCTATAACACGAACACGTCTCCGGGAGCACACATCAACCAGATAATTGCAGCAGCATATGGGCGCCCATGGCAAACCTGAGATTAGGCATTCCAATACCTAAGTAAGGAATCTTTCAAGACCTGTACACGTGTATGTCAGGCCCATACTGGAGTGTTGCAGATCAGGTTTGGAACCCGTACTGCGTTCTAGCACCATTAAGAAATTAGAGAAAGTGCAAAGGTTTGGGAACAAGGTTAGTTCCAGAGCTAAGAGGAATGTCCTATGGAATGATAGGTTGAGGGAAATCGGCCCTGATGACACTGGAGGAAGAGGGATAGGGGAGACACTGATAACGACATACAAAATACTGCGGAATAGACAAGGTGTGGACGGAGACAGATGTTCCGAGAAGGGGGACCAAGAAACAAGGGGTCACTCTTGGATGTTGAAGAATCAGATGAGTCACAGGGATGTAGGAGCAGTTTCAGCACAGAGTGGTCAGGAAGTGGAACAGTCTGGCGAGCGATGTAGTGGAGGCAGGTACTATACATAGCTTTAAGACGAGGTATGATATAGCTCATGGAGCAGGGAGAGAGAGGACCTAGTAGCGTTCATTGAAGAGGCAGGGCCAGGGGCTGAGTCTCGACCCTTGCAACTACAATTAGGTGAGTACATGCATGTATGCACCCATCTGGGTTTTCTTCTATTTTCTTAATAGTGCTTGTTCTTCTTTATTTCCTGTTATCTCCATGGGAAAGTGAAACAGAATTCTTCCCCCATAAGCCATGTGTGTTATAAGAGGCGACTAAAATGCCGGGAGCAAGGAGCTAGATTTTGAGCTTTAGTATCAGCACACCTCTGCCAAGACAGTGATGGAGTGAGTGATGGTGAAAGTGTTTCTTTTTTTTCAGGCCAGCCTGCCTTGGTGGGAGACAGCCGATGTATTTAAAAAAAAAAAAAACTCAAAGATATTCAAGTGGTATAAGAGATATTACTACAATGCTTAAGTTAATAAAAGGAAAGGAAAGACAGATAAGGAAACTTTATTGTCACCATGTACATGGTAAACAAGTGGCTATAATACCATGCTGCAGGAAGAGCATTGCAGAAAATGTATCTTATAGAAAATATTTCTTCACAGAGAAAGTAAATTAGTAGATTGTAAGAATGGGATTAGTGCTTCAGAAATCCCAATTAACTTAAGGCCAATGAATCAGTTTAAAGTATTATTGCATACTTAAAACTGTACTACTATTTTCATATAGCTAAGTCTCTTTTTTGTATTAGTGCGTACTTAAAACTGTACTATTGCTCACTGAGCTACCTCACTTTCTGTACACTTAAAAAAACTACTCAACAACCTATGTCTACTTCTTAAGTATTAAAATTAGTCTGTTCTATATGCACCGTATGCTTGTAGCTTTCTTTTGTGCTGAACGATATTTTATTACGTGTAAACTACATTTTCTCTATGGGGAAGTGGAACAGAATTCTTCCTCAGTAAGCCATGTGTGTTGTAAGAGGCGACTAACATGCCGAGAGCAAGGGGCTAGTAACCCCTTCTCCTGTATGTATTACTAAATGTAAAAGGAGAAATTTTCATTTTTCTTTTTGGGTCACCCTGCCTCAGTGGGATATGGCTGGTGTGTTGAAAGAAGAAAGAAAAATGAGAAACTTTTTTTTCTTTTTGGGCCACTCTGCCTCGGTGGGATACGGCTGGTTTGTCGAAAGAAGAAGAAACTACATTTTGTATGCTGCAGAAAGAAATAAAATTGTATTGAACCGAGGTAGAGAAGCATGTGTCAGTAAAAGCTTCATACAGCTACCTGAAGTAAGAAACTGAACACCAAAGATAGGATACCATGAGTATAACTTTGTCATTTTATCTACTGTTAGAAATCATACAAAGATACGTAGTAACATACACCCATGATAATGTAATTCATAAGTTAACTTACATTATTACATCTAAAAAAAAGAAAACAGATGTATAATTTACTGACAACTAAAAGTTATTGTAAAAAGGTATTCTTACTTATCACAGGTTTCGAATGGGCAAAAATGGGCCACTTTAACAGTTTCATGAGTTAGCCGGTGTAATTTAAGCTGTCGAAGTTGCCGAAAGGTTTTCTTGCAAATATCACACTCTGAAAAGAAAGTTGTGTATAAGATGATATGAAAGTAGCATCACATCATAATATAATATACACTATATAATGCCTATAATAACTCTGTGTTTTGTTATCCATGGAGGCAAAGAATGGAATGTATGAAAGTATAGTGGTACCAACACTCTTAGGTGTGAAGCTTGGGTGGTAAATGCTGCAGTGAGGAGGCAGTGGCGATGTCCTGTCTGAGGGTAACGTGTGGTGTAAATATTATGCAGAGAATTTGTAGTGTGGAAATTAGGAGGTGTGGAGTTACTATAAGTATTAGTCAGAGGGCTGAAGAGGGGTTGTTGAGATGGCTTGGTCATTTAGAGAGAATGGAACAAGGTAGAATGACATGGAGAGCGTATAAATATATAGAAGAACTAAGATGGGGTAGAGGTCATCCTCGAAAAGGTTGGAGGGAGGGGGTAAAGGTGGTTATGTGGGTGATGGGCTTGGATTTCCAGCTAGCGTGCATGAGCGTGTTAGATAGGAGTGAATGGAGATTAATGGTTTTTGGGACCTGACGAGCTGTTGGAGTGTGCGCAGGGTAATATTTTGTGAAGGGATTCAGGGAAACCTGTTAGCAAGACTTGAGTCCTGGAAATGGGAGGTATAATGCCTTCACTTTAAAGGGGTTTGAGATATTGGCAGTTTGGAGTGACTATCTAAACTATCGTATCTGGGTGTCTCTGCAAAGACAGTGATTATGTATGAGTAATGGTGAAAGTACTGGATAATAATGTAAGTTTTATTTTTGCCTTTTGGGTTTTTCTTTCTTTTGGGTCACCCTGCCTCAGTGGGAAATGACTGACATGTTAAAAAAAAAAAAAAGGAAAAACAGGGACTGGTTCCACGAATGTACACTAAAATACTACTGTAACTGTTTAAGAGAATAGATAGCATTATAGAATATGGAAAATAGCAGCCTTAATGAAAAATATCATTTAATAAATTGCATGAGTTATCCCCCCCCCCCCTCACTGGCTGTCACTCACCAAGGCAGGGTGGCCCTCAAAACATTCAATAGCTGGCTTGCCAGAAATGTACAGACATCACAATTCAGAGACCCTCTGAAAAGCACCATCTCCACCCTTCCTTCAGAGTGCAGGTGCTGTACTAAACATCTCCAGGACTCTTAATCTAGCTAAGTGGTTTACCTGAATCCATTCATGTTACTTTAACCACACTCCAACAGCATGTCAAAACCTAAGAACTTTTATTCTCCACTCTCTCTGATCTAACACACTCATACATGCCTGTTGGATGCATAAGTCTATACCACTAAGTACCTCCTACCTCCATCACCTCCCCCACCTAACCCCTCCTGGGACAACCTCTACACCTCCTTCCCACCACCCAGGATTTATACACCCTCTTTTGCATATAGAATTCAGCTCAGCAGACAGAGGATTAAGCCTCCATCACATCTTGTGCTTTTTGATCCATATGGGTTTAGTGCCTAACATGAATTAAACATTGCCATCCTTTTGTGTGCCATTTTTTCTAAATAAAAAACCACCTTGACAACCCCTACTCTAACCATTTGTAATCCCCACATTGTCTTCTAATTTCTGGCTGCCAATTCTCAGCACAATAACATTTCCACTGCCTCCAGATTCCTCAGTACAACATTTAAAGACCATGGCTCACACCCACATAAAAGTTTTAGTACTACCATACTGTGATACATCACTATTTTTGCTACCACAGATAAACACATCTACTCCCAAATATTCACTTCCTCTATGATCCCTCCCTCCAATCTGACGTCCAGTAATTCATTACATTAATTGTTTTTACTCACCACCTTGCTCTTTTTCATATTCACATTTAATTTCCTTCATTTACACGCCCTCCCAAATTACACCAAATTTCTGAAAACTCTCTTCTGACTCTCCCAAAAATCTGTCACTAGAAATGACTAACTGTGACAATTTCCACTTTATATCAGATTCATTACACAGTAACCCCTCATAAGCCACAAGATCATAGCTCATGTTAACAATTTTCTACTATTTAAATTTACTTTATTCCTATCTAATATTAAAACGCCATTACTATTAAGGCATGCCAGGGCAGAATTAATGGCAGACATTAATATTATGAAACATCCCTCCGACTCTTAGGCCATGACACTGTTTTGGTGTGGGTGAAGCATAGTGTCACTGCTGTGCGTAAATAAACTAGTCAGCCTATCTGGACACCTACCAGACGATAGTCTCTCTCTGGTTATTGCTCTCTATTCTTTTCTTTGTATCATGATCATGCTTCATCTCTCTATATTTATAATGGCATTCAAATGGAATCAAGTAATGCAGTAACACTAGTAGCAGTAATATTAGTAGTAGCAGTAGTAATATTACTAGCAGTAATAGTAGTAGCAAGAGCAGTAAAATTAGAAATAGCAGTAGTAATATTAGTAGCAGTAATAGTAGTAGCAATAGTAGTAATATTAGTAATAGCAGTAGAAATATTAGTAGCAAGAGTAGTAATATCAGTAGAAATATTAGTAGCAAGAATAGTAATATTAGTAGCAGCAGTAGTAATATTAGTAACAGCAGTAGTAATATTAGTAACAGCAGTAGTAATATTAGTAACAGCAGTAGTAATATTAGTAACAGCAGTAGTAATATTAGTAGCAATATTAGTAACAGCAGTAGTAATATTAGTACGAGCAGTAGAAATATTAGGATTTAATTCCATTTTCTCGATTTTCGATTTTTGACATTTGACACATTCTCACCAGTCTCCCTACGATCCCCATTGGGGAGGGGAACCTTTAGGCTGCATCACTCCACAATGCATTACTCGAACAGGGTAAAGATTAAACCAGAGAGTGGGACAGTCAATGATTCGTCCAAACTAGCACATGCAGCTGTCATAAGTGGCAGATTGCAAGTCAAGTGTAATGCGATTCTATCGCTCAAAGAGGCCTTCGTTGTCGTCTGTACTGATGACACCAAGGCTGAGAAAATAATTACCACCACTGCTACAACCACTCTACGAGACCAGGGATTTATTGTCTTGACTCCCCCAGCTCTGAGGGCCAGGAGAGTTGTGTTCCTCCAGAGACTCGACAGGCTCATCACTGCCCAGGCTACCGAAGAAATCAAGTCGTCCATTGAAGAACAGAACCCTTGGGCCAAGGTGGAATTCATTACCAAAATCCCCAATGCTTCCTCCATGCTGAAGGTCACCTTCGGTGACGTCAACATGACAACCAGAGCTCTCGCTGAGGGACTGGCTATTCACTACTTCCACATCAACCCAGCCTTCATCGAAGAAGAAAAATTTCAACAAATCCCACAATGCTACAACTGTTACTCATACCTACATACCACCAAAGACTTCCCCCGCCAAGAATAAGAAATTCTGCTCCACCTGCGCCAAGAAGGCCATGACTTCAAGACGTGCACTAAATGCTCACCACCCAAATGCTTGAACTGCAAGAATGATCACCACACTCTTGCTGCCAAGTGCCCAACCAGACGAGATAACTTAAAAACAACTCCAACAGCAAAAGAAACCCACTCCACAAGCAACTACATATGCTGCTATTACCAAGCTTCAAAGCAGATACTACCAAGATTCTTCAAGCCACGCAAGCTGCCTCTACCACTTATCTGCCAGCTCCTGCCGGCAACTCAACCAAGAAATTTTTTACTGTAACATGTAGGCTCATGTACAGAATGTAGTTGAACCTGGCCCTTCAACAAAACCTCATCAAAAAAACTATCCAAGCTGAAAAAATATGTCTGGTTTTGCATTCCCCGCATCCCCACCCTCCACTGAGATATAAAAAACCACAGAAAATATCACCAAAAATCACTGCTGCCCACCGCTACCACAACCTTCACTCGACACAGAGATGGACCAATCAGAGACCACTGAGATGTTGGCAAATCCCACCAATCAATGAAAGTCTACCACCACCTGCTTCCACCATTTCCGCAAACTGACAATCAGAAGCCCCCCCTCGTCCAGCTCAGCCACCACCACCAACCCCACCGATCCTCACCTAAATGTAATCAGTTCTACACCACGAAATAATGCAGCAAAGCTATGCCCTTCCCAGAACTTAGCCAACAACTCCAGGACAACACTGAAAAGTTTTACCTGTTCACGAAACCCACCTGCTACCCTAGAATCCATTACTCTAACCCCCTTTAACAATAATCTACTCCAACTCCAAAATGAACGTACTGCCCCCTCTCAAAACAAGATTCAATGCAGTCTGCAACGGCTCCAACAACTGTTCAATTGCCTAATCACCACCTACCAACAGCACTTTGCTATTTAGCTAAAGCTGGGGTGTGGCTCCAATCGACCCTGTTTTTCCAGTCACCACTGCCCTTCCAGCCGTCTCCTTCCTGAAACCTGAAGCCCAACCCAACACACTGCCTGAACACCTCACACCGACTCAACTCTCTGCAGTATCTCTGCACAACTTGCCCAGAGTGGATGGGCCACTCACCTCTATTACCCTTCCTCCTCCATCATCCCAACCCCTTCCCATATTTCCATCCTACCTCATCCTTCTTCCTTCCCCATCTTATCGACGCTCAGGTCAGTTCCAGTTACAGTAGTAATATTAGTAACAGCAGTAGTAATATTAGTAGCAAGAGTAGTAATATTAGTAACAGCAGTAGTAATATAAGTAACAGCAGTAGTAATATAAGTAACAGCAGTAGTAATATTAGTAACAGCAGTAGTAATATAAGTAACAGCAGTAGTAATATTAGTAACAGCAGTAGTAATATTAGTAGCAAGAGTAGTAATATTAGTAACAGCAGTAGTAATATTAGTAACAGCAGTAGTAATATTAGTAACAGCAGTAGTAATATTAGTAACAGCAGTAGTAATATTAGTAGCAAGAGTAGTAATATTAGTAACAAGAGTAGTAATATTAGTAACAGCAGTAGTAATATTAGTAACAGCAGTAGTAATATTAGTAACAGCAGTAGTATATAGTAATAGCAGTAGTAATATAAGTAACAGCAGTAGTAATATTAGTAACAGCAGTAGTAGTATTAGTAAGAGTAGTAATATTAGTAACAGCAGAAGTAATATTAGTAACAGCAGTAGTAATATAAGTAACAGCAGTAGTAATATTAGTAACAGCAGTAGTAATATTAGTAACAGCAGTAGTAATATTAGTAACAGCAGTAGTAATATTAGTAACAGCAGTAGTAATATTAGTAACAGCAGTAGTAATATTAGTAACAGCAGTAGTAATATTAGTAACAGCAGTAGTAATATTAGTAACAGCAGTAGTAATATTAGTAACAGCAGTAGTATATAGTAACAGCAGTAGTAATATAAGTAACAGCAGTAGTAATATTAGTAACAGCAGTAGTAATATTAGTAACAGCAGTAGTAATATAAGTAACAGCAGTAGTAATATTAGTAACAGCAGTAGTAATATTAGTAACAGCAGTAGTAATATAAGTAACAGCAGTAGTAATATTAGTAACAGCAGTAGTAATATTAGTAACAGCAGTAGTAATATTAGTAACAGCAGTAGTAATATAAGTAACAGCAGTAGTAATATTAGTAAGAGCAGTAGTAATATTAGTAGCAGCAGCAGTAGTATCAGTAACAGCAGCAGCAATAGAAGCAGAAATAGCAGTAGTACGAGCAGCAGTGGTGATGGACATTAAGAAATAAATATTACTTAATGTCCACTTCTTTTTTAAATACAAATTCATTTTTCTTCTGAAATGGTCGAGAATCTTTTTCTAAAGTAATGATGCCACAAATATAAAATTTGATGGAAAACTCATGGGATTACAAAAGCACAAAGTTAGCGGTCTCACTGCAATTTACGCATCAGCAATTTCGCAAACTTTGAATACTATTTTAAACCATGTCACTAAAAATTGCTCCTTTCGACCAAATTCTTAGATACTTCCATTCTAATGATTAACCACAAGAAACTGCCCATTTAACTATTTCAACTAATTTAAAATGAGTACACAAGTCAGTAATTTGGCCAATTTAAAAAAAAATGAAAAAAGTAACAATTTAAAATAAAGTTCAAAATAGTAAACAACGTAGACATTCCTGGTACTAAAACAACATTTCCTCTTTTCATTATTCATGTCCCCATGCCTCTCCTATATTACACTTACCTTCCATTTTGAATTCTTAATCACACAAAAATAGAAGATTTACTCTAATTCTCAAATAATAAAATATCTTTCTTTCTTTCAACACACCGGCTGTATCCCACCGAGGCGGGGTGGCCCAAAAGGAAAAAAGAAAGTTTCTCCTTTTACATTTAGTAATATATACAGGAGAAGAGGTTACTAGCCCCTTGCTCCCGGCATTTTAGTCGCCTCTTACAACACGCATGGCTTACGGAGGAAGAATTCTGTTCCACTTCCCCATGGAGATAAGAGGAAATAAACAAGAATAAGAACTAGAAAGAAAATAGAAGAAAACCCAGAGGGGTGTGTATATATATGCTTGTACATGTATGTGTAGTGTGACCTAAGTGTAAGTAGAAGTAGCAAGACTTACCTGAAATCTTGCATGTTCATGAGACAGAAAAAAGGACACCAGCAATCCTACCATCATGTAAAACAATTACAGGCTTTCGTTTTACACTCACTTGGCAGGATGGTAGTACCTCCCTGGGCGGTTGCTGTCTACCAACCTACTACCTAGGATAATAAAATATAACCAGGAACAATTGGTCATGGCTTACGATGTCCCAATAATTGAATCAGACCTATTAAAAACCCATGAAATAGACTGGGGGTGCAGGGGGCCTTACCTGTCCTCATGAAAATCTACAAAAATAAAATATTTCTGCTACTTTGAGCTCAATTTCAAGTTACTCCTGCTCCATAAACTAACCAAATAATATATTTCAGTAGTACGTTTTCTGTTCTATCAAATGATAACAAATAACAGCTAATATAACCATGAAAACTATCCGAAAAAACACCTCAAAGTCATTATTTTAAACCATGCACACAGTTGGAGTTTTGCTTTTCGCATCACACACCGTGTGGGGCAGGTTAATTTTTTATGCTGTGCATACTCACCACACAGACCCATTCTCTCATATCTAGGCCAAAATTTACCACTCAACTTATCTGAGTGGGCTGCACTCATGACAAAGAACTTACATGAGGGACCTGGCGTCAATGATGTAGTTCTACATGACGGACACTAAAAGGGTTAATGAAGTGAATATTCAATGAAGGGCTTTGCTGGTCGACAGTAAAGACAACATGACACAATAACACTCTGCAAGTGATGTCATACCTTGTGATTCATGCTCTTAATGTGACAGTTTTAAAAGACCACATTAATTTTATGATGGGTTATTATCACCTGTGAAAATGATACTGGAAAGAAAAACCATTATTTTTCCTACCTTTAGGATGACCAATAGACAGATGGTGCTGTAGTTCCTTATATTCATCAAATACTTCTTTGCAAGATTCTCGAGGGCAAGAATAGCGATTTTTTTCATGAACCTTATAGTGACGCTTAAGACGACTAGGAGCTTCACATCTTACATCACATCCTGGGAAGTCACATCTGATAATAAGCAACCAAAAAATACATAAATTTAAAATATGTATAGTAATGTACTCAGGTTTTGTAAATCAAATGAAAATCTCTAACTTGCACTTTTTATCGCACCAGATATGCTGAGATAGGGTGATCTCAAAATAAAAGTTAACGCATTCCTCACTGATCATTTAATAGATGTCTTGCCAAAAGTGTGAAGGCATCACAAATGAAATGACCCTTTGAACTGTAACATTCCTGCCTCCCCTTCAGAGTTTTAGGAGATCTACTGCCCACCTTCTGGACTCACCTCTGGCTAATGAGTTTCCCCATTGCCCTTCATAAATGTACCTTGCTTCACTACAACAGAAAAAAGAAAAAAGACAAGAATGGACATCATCATCTATGGGGGAAAAAAAAGATCTAACATACATAAACTACATATCTTTTTACAAAAATTGTTGATTATAATTATTACAATTTAACATCAGCACCCATGGCAAGTAAACATGTGCTGAATCATTGATTGTATCTCCTTAATGTCAATATGTACTAAAAAAATACATAATTTTTCTTGTATCCATTGTAACTCCTAAATTTATATTTACAATCACCTAAGAGATTGTATATGTAAAACCATTTGTCACTGCCTTATTAATCTTTAGTTAGTCTTAAGTTTGCCCGGAATCCTCTGTATATTAACCCTTTCAGGGTCCGTCCCGTAGATCTACGGCTTTATGGTGAGTGTCCAAACCGTAGATCTACGCCATGAGCTCAGCTCACTCTGATAAACTGTGAGTGGTACATTTGGGCCTAGATATGAGGGGAATACATCTTGTGGTATGTGTGCACCACATAAAACAGATCCTGCAGCACACTGTGTATAATGAGAGAAAAAAACTAAAATCATGATTTTTTGATTAAAACAGCAACTTTGCAGTGTTTTTTCGTATGTTTTTTTATAGTTGTATTTGCGATTCTTGGTCTCATTTGATAGAATGGAAGACATATTACAGAAATAGAGATGATTTTGATTGGTTTTAGCACTGGAAATGGCTTGAAACTGAGCTCAAAGTAGCGGAAATGTTAAATTTTTGCCGATATTCAAGAGTAAACAAACGACCTCACACGTCTAATACACGTCAGCTGGTGGATCTAATATACATTCACAAATATGGTGATGATATTTATACAATTATTACAGTATTGCATAGCAGTAAATCTTCTATTTTTTGGTGTGAATAAAATTCATTATGTGAATAAAAAATCAAAATGGAATTTATTTGTAAAGCCTCAAAACATGACTAATGAACAGAGGAAATGTTAGTTTAGTGCCAGGAATGCCTACATTGTTTATTCTGGACCCTATTTTGAAATTGGAATATTTTGAACTTTGTGTTAAATTGGCCAAATTAACAATTTCCGATCACTTTATTTTGTAGTTTGAAACAGTTGACTTGGCGATTTCTTGTGCTCAATCGATAGAATAGAAGTAATACTAGTGAAATAGCTAAGAATTTGGTTGATTGGAATAATGTAATTGGCCTAAAATGGGAGTCAAAGTCGGCAAAATCGCCGATTCGTAAATATCGCTGACACATCAAAATTCGCGAGAGCATAATTTCGTCAATTTTCCACCAAATTTCGTACTTTTTGTTTTATTACCTTCACAAAAAGCTTCTCTACGATTTCATAAGAAAAAATAACAAATTTTTTTTTTGAAAATTCTTGGACACTGGTGCGTGACTCCAGATTTGGGCCTTGGACCCTGAAAGGGTTAAGGGGCTTTCAGCATGCACACCTAATTGTAATTCACCTTTGTACAAACATTGTATCATGCTGAAATAAAGTATCTTTATCTTAATCTTTAATTATGGGGTAATATGAAACAGATGCAATAGTTTTAAACTTTATTTTTCAGATTTTTTGGGAATATCATTTCATGATATGAGACAGAAAAAAAGATGCCAGGAATCCTACCACCACTTAAAACAATTACAGGTTTCTGTCTTACACTCATTTGGCAGGATGGTAGAACCTCCCTGGACAGTTGATGTCTATCAACCTACTATATATTATCATTTTTTTATTTTTATGTAACTGGCCATATCCCACCGAGGCAGGATGACCTAACAAGAAAATGAAAGTTTCTCTTTTTAACTTCAGTAATGTATAAAGAAAAAGAGGTTACTAGCCCCTTGCTCCCGGCATTTTAGTCACCTCTTACAACACGCATGGCTTATGGAGGAAGAATTCTGTTCCACTTCCCCATGGAGCTGTATATTATTATTATTAGTATTACGTATTATTATTATTTATAACTCTCATCCACATAAATACATGATTTAATCCTATTTGCCTCTCCCCACTGAAACTCTACCATCTTTTTATAACTTTGTTTGGCTCAGTGCTAGGAAATCCAGAATTTTTTTTACGTCTTAACAATAAGAATTTTTTGTTCATTATTTATTAACACATCGGCTGTTTCCCACCAAGGCAAGGTGACCCGAAAAAGATAAACTTTCATCATTATTCACTCCATTACTGTCTTGCCAGAGGCATGCCTACACTACAGTTATAAAACTGCAATATTAACACCCCTCCTTCAGAGTGCTAGCACTGTACTTCCCATCTCCAAGAATCAAGTCTGGCCTGCCAGTTTTCCTGAATCCCTTCATAAATGTTACCTTGCTTACACTTCAACAGCATGTCAAGTAATTTTTTGTATCTGTATTAAATACGTGCACATTTATACAGTCCAACTTCAAAATTATCTTAGTTATATATTAGTACTATAACTGATAAAGAAATGGTTAATTGCCACCTGCTCCTGGTATATTAAGTGCCTTTTATGATATAATTCAGTATTTATGGATAAGTAAGTACACGAAATATAATATAGGGTGTGATGATAGCAGTTTGTTAGACTATGTATTGGTGGATAAAAAGTTGAAGGGTAGACTTCTGCAAGTGCATATTTTTAGAGGGGGCAACAGATGTATCAGATCATTATATAGCTGCAGTTACAATGAGAGTAAGAGGTAGATGGGGGTACAAGAATGGCATCAGTGAGTAAGAGAGAAGTGAAAGTTTATACATTAAAGGAGGAGGTATTTAGGATAAGATATAAGAAACTGTTAAAATATGAAAATATAGGTAATGAGGAGAAGGTTGAAAAGATATGGGGTACATTTAAGCCTCTCACTGTCTGCCACATAGAACATCACTGAGGCCAGGATTCCTGACGTAGTTCTACATCATGAGCTCAGCTTACTCAGATAAGGATTACTTTAGTTATATTGTCAATCTGGCAAGGTTAGGTTGCATCAATTAAAATTTATTACATCATTATTTTTTAAAAATAAATATCAATGCATTAATAGAATTTTTTTGAAAATACAGTACTTAATTTACTAGTACAGTGGACCCCCGGTATTCGATGGCATCGGTATCCGATAAATCCGGTATTCGATGCATTTTAACGCAAAAATTTCGCCTCGGTATCCGATCGAAAACCCGGTATTCGATGCGATTCGTACGAGACGTGTCCGCATGTGGCCTGAACTGCCCCATGTGTGCCAGTGTTTACAAGCCAGGCAGTGTGCGCTCATCTAAAGATACATTCGGTACATTCTAATTATCACTGTTTTTGGTGCTTGTTTCTGCAAAATAAGTCACCATGGGCCCCAAGAAAGCTTCTTGTGCCAACCCTGTGGTAAAAAGGGTGAGAATTAGTATGGAAATTAAGAAAGATTTTGAAGGGTTTGGGGCTAACCCTGAGAAGCCTATGCCAGTTGTGGAATCCATTGTGCCTATTTCAAAAATTAAGGAAATGTGTGCAAAGTGGGTTGAACTGCAAACCTTTATGGATGAAAATCACCCTAACACAGCTATTGCAAGCCGTGCTGGTGACTATTACAATGACAATGTTGTGGCCCATTTTAGACAAATCTTAACCCTTTCAGGGTCCAAGGCCCAAATCTGGAGTCACGCACCAGTGTCCAAGAATTTTCAAAAAAAAAAAAATTGTTATTTTTTCTTATGAAATCGTAGAGAATCTTTTTGTGAAGGTAATAAAACAAAAAGTACGAAATTTGGTGGAAAATTGACGAAATTATGCTCTCGCGAATTTTGATATGTCAGCGATATTTACGAATCGGCGATTTTGCCGACTTTGACTCCCATTTTAGGCCAATTACATTATTCCAACCAACCAAATTCTTAGCTATTTCACTAGTATTACTTCTATTCTATCGATTGAGCACAAGAAATCGCCAAGTCAACTGTTTCAACTACAAAATAAAGTGATCGGAAATTGTTAATTTGGCCAATTTAACACAAAGTTCAAAATATTCCAATTTCAAAATAGGGTCCAGAATAAACAATGTAGGCATTCCTGGCACTAAACTAACATTTCCTCTGTTCATTAGTTATGTTTTGAGGCTTTACAAATAAATTCCATTTTGATTTTTTATTCACATAATGAATTTTTATTCAAACCAAAAAATAGAAGATTTACTGTTATGCAATACTGTAATAATTGTATAAATATCATCACCATATTTGTGAATGTATATTAGATCCACCAGCTGGCGTGTATTAGACGTGAGAGGTCGTTTGTTTACTCTTGAATATCGGCAAAAATTTAACATTTCCGCTACTTTGAGCTCAGTTTCAAGCCATTTCCAGTGCTAAAACCAATCAAAATCATCTCTATTTCTGTAATATGTCTTCCATTCTATCAAATGAGACCAAGAAATCGCAAATACAACTATAAAAAACATACGAAAAAACACTGCAAAGTTGCTGTTTTAATCGAAAAATAATGATTTCAGTTTTTTTCTCTCATTATACACAGTGTGCTGAAGGATCTGTTTTATGTGGTGCACACATACCACATAGATGTATTCTCTCATATCTAGGCCCAAATGTACCACTCACAGTTTATCAGAGTGAGCTGAGCTCATGGCGTAGATCTACGGTTTGGACACTCACCGTAAAGCCGTAGATCTACGGGACGGACCCTG